AAAAAAAACCGGAAAATCGTCCGCGACCACTATGCAAAAAATCTTCGTGTACAACACGTGTTGAAAGTGTCTTTTTTTCATGAATTTGCATGATTAACTCGGGCTTCGCCCTCATTTATCAAAATGCAAATTCATTAAAAAAAAGTATCACTTTCAAAACTAGTTGCACAAATAACTATTCCGCGCGACATATCGACCACAAAATTAACTCAGAAACCATCATTATTAATTAGCGCCAGATTGGGAGCAACTACTTTATCATTATCGTCAGTCTGATCGTCCGTCCCACCGTTTGCACTATAATACGCCGGATGTCCACCGAATCGGGGCGACGAAAATCGGTCCAACTGTAGTCGTATCCAGATTGATCGGGCCGACTAAAATATTGGCAATTCACATAGATAGGTCGATCGCCTTTCGAACGATTTTTATCGGGTTGACAGTTGACATTCATCTTCGATAAAATGTCAAGTGAAGACGAAACAGTTGTCGCATGCTTTGCACCACAGGGGAAAGAAAATTCGCCGCCACAGTTATTGGCCCGTATGAATAAAAGTAAGCAAATGCTTATACTTGCAAAATTCAAAGTAAATACTCGTAAGTGCTTCCCACTGGGCGACTTAGCAGCGCTGCTGAGCAGCAGGACAGGGCGCAGTGCAGTGCTGCTATACAGACCAGCATGAAGGGGCAGTTACGAGTATTTACTTTGAATTTTGCAAGTATAAGCATTTGCTTATTTTTATTCATACGGGCCATTGGGTACATCCGTACATAACTAATAATAGAAACAGAGGTGCTTTCATTTGTGCCCGTGAACTTGCGAATCATGAACAAAAATTTAAATGTATGTCCAAGAGTAGTTTTTTTTTCCTTTTGGCTGACCTTGCTCGACCATTAACTGCCAGAAGGGACACCAATTACATCTGTGACGGTAGAAGAAGGTTTATCAGCACTTTTGATTATTATGACACACGACTGCCGACAATAATGATCGTGCAAGAGCGTCGCGTCGGGCGAAAATAGTCGGTTGCGATTTCGATCGGTCCCGACAAAAATCTAGCCTGTGGACAAGCTTCAATAGAAGCCATATATATAAGAGAATATATGATAGAAGCGCACGCGCGCGATCTTTATCGGACGATTCAAATCGCACCGATCTTGGTCGTTCCGATGTGGTGGACATCCGGCCTTTTAAAAAAAAAGCTTTGGCGTATAAAGGACAAGTTCGGCACATAGATAGATTACAAGTGGGGTAACCACTCCCGAAATTACTGTACATTTGTCCCGAAATCTCACCGCAATCCCCCGAAATCCTCCGAAATCAGGCCGAATTCCTCGCAATCCTGCTGAATTCAAGGAAATCACTCCGAATTCACGGAAATCACTCCGAATTCCTAGAAATCTCACCGAAATCTCGCTGAAATCCCCACAATCCTGCCAAGTTCAGTGTATACGTTTTGTTCCTTATTCTCGTCGAAATTCTCCACAATCAGACCGAATTCCCTGAGCAATCCTGCCGAAATCACGCCGCAATCACCGCAGTCCTATCGGAATCGCTGCAATCTCACTGAAATCTTTTTGTCTTCTGGTATTGCACATCTACGTTACCTTAATTTTTTATTCAATGGTTACAGTTACACAGGCTTTGCCCGTTGTAAATGAGCGGACTGTATCTTAAGTAAGTTTATCTTACCTTTAATTTTTCGGCGATTCGGCGTAAACTTGTGAATGGGTCATGAAGGAAAGGAAAAAGGAAAACTCACCCCAATCAGCTAAAAGAACTAAAACGTTTAACTGTTCTGCTTGCTTTAACTTAACTGTGTGTGAATAGTTGAAATCAAAAATTATCTATTATTCTGTGCACGCATTAGTTATGCGCAGGTAACTAAAATTGTATATGAAAGCATTGAAATGAAAGTAACAAAAACGCGGCAAGTTTAAATTGCTCATTCATTAACACCCGTGACTTGATAAAAATACAACTGGCAAGCAAGACGCAAGTTAGGCGTACAGTGTGGTCCAGTTTCGATGGGATTAAATGAGTAACTTTCTTATTAGCGCAGATAAACGAAAACGGTTTAAGTAAGTATACTGGCCGGCCGGTACCTCCTTTTTCATGCTTATTCCAATTACCATTACCAGAAATAAGCTGCCGTCTTGTAGTGTACTTAACCCCCAGGTTCTACGCTAACTTCACACTACAAGAACACGGAAATAAAATAAACCCGGCAACGTTTAAAAATGGACACCCGAATGACTATTCTCTCTAAAACTAAACAAGAACCCGCTTAAATTTGAAAAGTGGCACGTGATAAAACATCTAAGGCAGGCCCCCCTTACGTTAGTTGTAGACAACGCTTTGACCTGAAGCACAGTAGGGAAGGAACGTTAAATAAAACACTGAAATTGTGAAAAGTTTGTTTAATAATGATCGTAATTATTATGATTGTGAAAACCCGAAAATTTAGTTGATGTACATTGATATAAACAAAACAAACAAAGCCAAAAGGTGTCGTACTCTCGCAAAAGTCACTGCCAAGGATAAAAAGAGTACGACGTAAGAAAAACCTTGCAGTTTGATTAAAACAGTCCAAAAGTTAATTAACAAAATATTTTGTAAAAGTTTAAGCAGTAGTTAACAAAGATAGTAAATGCATATACACAATGTTTGTTACACTCAAGGTTAAAGCAAGTTTTTGGGGACAATGGGTCAGGTAGGAGCAGGTACCAAGATTCTGAGAAAGGGTTAAAAGTACAGATTGTGACTCATCTTTGGTGCAATAAAGTCCTTTTGTTGAAAGCAAGATGGAACATTACATGGCCTTGTAGGCAAATTTGACTAAAAACAAGATATGTGGAAATTATTGAATCGCCACTCATTTAACGCACATAGATTCTAAACTGAAGAGCTTTGATTAGCGTAATCTCGCTCCTGCAAGATGGGTAGTCCGCCCCTGGTTTCGGGGTTTCGAACCTACAGTTGGATGTCGAAGACAGTGCACGGAATTAGGTGCCCTAACACATAATTATAGACTACAGTTTCTTTTTCCACCTTCCCGAGACTGCTTCATTCACGGAGAAAATTGTTAGTAACAAACAACAAGTCAGTACATACATCAAACGAATCAGCAATTTCCACATATTAAAATAAAATGAAAACTTAACATGAATGTAACTTCAGGGACAAGACCAAGTAATCAACATCAATAAACATAAATTAAGCAAACATTACACCAAAAATGTAAACAATTATAAACAATAGCATAACGGTATCACACATATGATTGCACACAGGATGTTGAATGACGTAAGATAAACATTCTTCCTTTCATGAATCGTGACCTTATTTAACATTCCTTAAGGAAGATTGAATTACAATAGGTTGCCGACCCCTGTCCTAGGTAGTTTAACCGGTGGCAACGGTTTAACCGACACACACAAAAATTAAGAATAGATAGGTAGGTACATTTAATTTCTGTTACAGTGATCAAGGATGCCTGCGTATTTTTTGCTTTCCTGTTCAAATGTAATTCAATCTTCCTTAAGGAATGTTAAGTAAGGTCACGATTCATGAAAGGAAGAATGTTTATCTTACGTCATTCAACATCCTGTGTGCCACATAAATGCCTTATAAGTACGTTTCTTGGGTATCTAGAATTCTGTATACAACAATTACAAATCGAGATAGTGGGTTCATTACAGATTCCTGTATAATAATTAACAAAGGTAAAAAACTGACATTATTATTCATCTTTCTCGATGGTAGAGACATCTACGTCGTGTAATTTAAACTATTGAAAACAGTCACATATCCTGCCATTTAACCTGCGCTTCTGATAGTTATAAATTCAATGGTAGTACATTACTATGAATTTTTCATTGCAATCCCTATGATGCGTTACGCAAGTCACCACCCTGTATAAGGACCAAATAAAGTTGAAAATATCTAAATTTTTCACCCGCATGTACGACCCCTTCTTCTCCGTATAGTTTTAAATTAGGGGTTGTTATTTATGAATTGCCACACTGCTAATATTCGCAAACAATTACCGGCTTTTGCCATTTTTATACAACGGCGATAGGATATCGAAATTAATTCATGATAACAAAGACACATGTCTCAATACAAGATTATCAAAAATGTTTGAAAGAAGTATTTATAGATGGCACTTTAAAACATGTATAGATGCCATTTGTATAAGTAATGACGCAAACTACTTATACCTGCAAAATTAATAGTTACTGAAATCACACATAGAGGCTTGAATCCTTTATACCGCGCAATTATTTTTCCTATGCCAAGACACAGCCGTCTATAATTAAAAGCCGTGCTGAGAATTATGGCAACACTGCATGGTAGGCCGATTTCCTAATTCAACATGACAGATTATGAGTGTATATTCTTATTCCCAAGAGTTCATGGTACGGGAATTTGAAGTCTGTGGAGCTCCCCTCTTTAAAAGCTTCGTATCTAGACCCACTGGAGTAGCGACTGGCTTAAAGTCTGCCATTCCGAATCACACTTGGTCGTTGATATAACCTCGCTGATGCGCAGCGATTTACTGTCCTTTTACCGAAATTAAGTGCTCAAGCGTGTGCTTCACCTCGACCTCTTTCGACAGAAGTTCACCAATTTCGGAGATCTCGATGGAAAGCACATTATGATGCAGTTACCAATTTACAGCGTTCCGAATTTTAAAGTCAAATAAAAATGTTATTATCCATTTTTGTAAATGAAAAAAATATATGTACAATTGTAAGCTGCCAAGTATCTTTCTTCTATATTAAAACCGCCACGACGAAACACAGGGGAGAGGAAAATGCCATTTTTCAAGAGCAACAAGACTCCATTAAAACTTACATCGGCCCACCGATTGACTTTCGAACAACGTTGCCAAACTGCTCAGCATGGCTTGTAATTATAGACGGCTGTGGCCAAGAGCTATGGTGTGTTTCTGTGGTTTAACCGAGTTTAACATTTGAAAGGTGTGAGGTATTGAGGTTATGTTTATGTTGTTGTTGATATTTAATTATTTGAGTGTTTCATAGCGGAGCGAGCTTTTTTATACCCTTACCCTACCCATAATTATGCTAATTGCATGATTCGCTTACATTCTAAGGGGTAAAACCGATCCTTTGATTTCTTGACATGGTCTCAACTAGAGGAGGAATAAAACTGAAATTTTACGAAGGCGAAAGAGTACTTTGTTATGAACCTGATCCAACTAAAGCCAAAGTGTTATACGATTCTAAGGTAGGTAGAGAGATATACATCTAATCTGTTATTACCAAATGTCTTGCTTAGGTTTTAGATGTTGTCATAACTAAAGATAGTCGTGGTCGGAAAAATGTGGAATATTTAATACACTTTCAGGTTCGTAAGAGGCATTCATTATAGTTACAAGGTGTTACGTGTGATGTTTTTAAGGGTTGGAACTCGTCATGGGACAGGTGTGTACGTGAAGAGTATGTACTCAAAGATACACCTGAAAATCGACAATTACAAAAAGATTTAGCAGAAAAATCACAACTTCACATGTAAGTATTTACTAAATCAATAGTAGGTACCACTTGTGTTTTCTGTATATTAATAATAATAACCTATGATAAATTCCCCAAATTTAAGATACAAACCAGGTGCATTAATTGATATGGTAGGATTTTCCTAAGGTTGTATGTACGTGATCGATGTATTACATCTGAATTGGGCATGTTTACATAGTATATGCAATTGATAGAACAGAACAGTGCTGCATTGTGGATTGTGGTTGGTGTACCAGCTATACCAACGATCCTCTACATTCTACAGTATATCGACCACAATGCAGTAGTGTTGGTATGCTTTGCTACATACCCTCGTACATACCCATTCTGCTCTATCCTCGGTTCTATCGATTGCAGACACTATGTAAACATATCTAATTCTGATGTAATACACTGATGACGTGCACAGGTGAAATTCCAGAAATTCCTCTATAATGTCATTTTGCTAAACAGAAAATATGCGAGGGAAGGATTCGTGACTAGTAAAATTGTTTTTCATAAGAATTATTTTTCGCAGAGGTGCATACTTGTATCGAAAAGAAAGGAAGAAACTAATTAGGAAAAGTAATGAACCTATTGCTCATTCGTCAGAGGATGGAAGTGTGGGCAGTCCAACACAATTGGACACCGATGAATCCAGCCACAGTTCTGAGGAGGATTCATCATTGGAGGATGACATGTTTCCTATTGAACTGAGCCAAGATTTAAAAGAAATTTTAGAAAATGATTACGAAAACATTAATAATCAAAATAAGGTATGTAGAAATTTTTTGTATGTTACACTTACTAGTAAAACATTTTGTTAACAGTTAATGAAGCTACCTGCAGAACCAAACGTGGTAACAATTTTGGAGATGTATTGGAAACATTATGCCACAAGTCTGCTATGTGGTTTAAATGATAAGCCACTTACTAGGCATAGGATACCAAGCAAAATAAGACCCGAAGATGTTCAGAAAAAGTAAGTGAAATACTTAGGCCCAGTTGCAAACACAAATTGGTTCTGAGATTCTCAGTAACGAACGATCCTTAGATGTGAGTCAAAATATGCAAGGATGAGATAGCGCTGCTTCAAGTGTAGGTAGTGACTGCTTGGTAGCTCACATTACAGGGGTTTTGAATTACACTTTTATGTTCTAAAATGAGCTCATCAGGACGTGTAGGGTGTGTTCCTACGAAATCATTGGATTTGACCCATTTTCAATAGTCTTGTTACATGTGCCACATAGGTCAACTCTGCAAAGTTTGAAACGAATCGGTCCAACCGTTTGCTCTTATTGAATATATCTAAGCAGAATACAGCAAAATGGAAATAAAATATAATTATTTATATGTATTCGCAATTGATTGAACTCTATTGGATTTTGTTATATTTTTCTATTAATCAAAGCCAACTCTTCAACAAAGATGATCTCCAACAGCTATGCTGCTTAATAATTCAGTTAAAGGGAAAATTGCACTTCATTTATATTTTTGTCTTATTTTCCAAAAATTACTGATTTCCTCAATATTTCAACAATCTTTTGCGTGGAAACCATATGACGTACACACAATGTTAAGAGACGTAATTTTCTCCTCTAAGCTCCAAAGGTTTTTTGATGATTTCCGAGATGATTTCTTATATTTGCGGGAAAAATTAAAGACAATTACACTAGAACTTTCTACTTTGAGTGGTTTTGTTGCTGGTAGTGCAAACTAAAAGTATTTCGATTATATGTTACATTGGATTTGAATAAATCACTACATATTTTAAATGTAACTATATACATATACTGTTTTATCAAACCAATAAAACTACTTCTACCAAATTTAAATATATGGCATTGTTAGAAGGTTTTATTGATCCAATGATAACCAACGTTATGGAAGCGTTACATAGAAGATGATGTGATATTGCAACAAGACGGGGCCCTCCTCATTTTGCACAAATGTTCGACAGTTCTTTGTGAGAATATTAGCAGAATGAGTTCGATGAAAGATTTTAATCAGTCAACACAAAAATCAGTGTTAATATAAACTTACAATGGCAGATTTCTTGAATTAAATTTTTCACATACATATTTCAAAATTACTTATACACTAAGCTGGCGCTGTATGAATATCAAACTTGATTATAATTATATATATTCCAACATTCTTGGACCTTAGGTTCCCTGGTAGATGGGTTGGATGTAGAAGTTGTATCAAATGGCTAGATATGTCACTGTTAGATTTTTTTCTTGTGAAATCTCAAATTTATGCAGCGCAACCTGAATCTTAGTGCTTGTTCACAATGGACACAGTACCGCATTTCCCATTAGGCCAACTAGGCCCAGGCCTAGGGCGCAAATTTTTAGGGGGCGCTAAATTGGAAGGGGTACAAAAGAAAGAATGCGCTTTAGGTAAAGTTCAATTTGCTAGCGTCGCTTATCGTGTCCGTAATCGTTGACTTATTCGTAAGCGTAATAGGGCGCAACGCAATCCTCGTGGTCATGCAGACCATCTTCCTGCTACGTTGCGGGCACCGGCGGCCAAGGGTCATATGCAAACATACTCCCCTTTTAGCGAATAATTGAACTTGTCCAGCGGGGCGCTTTGTTCCGAGGCAATAGCTTGCACCAGTTGTACTTGTTACTTTGTTTTTTCTACATGATGAACCAGGATGTAATTATTTCTGGTTTTTAATAAATGGTCAGAATTTGTGAATATTATCTATCATAAATGTATTGTGTTTGTGTACTATTTTGGAGTTCATATTTTCGTTATTCTTATACACCATCCAAATCAAATACAATTTTGACAATATCAAGAATAATTTATTTACAACTGGACGTGTATGGGGTGCGATAAGAGTGCGGAGGTAGGGGGCGCTCTTTAGTTTGTAGGCCTAGGGGCGCTGAATGGCTAAATGCGGCCCTGAATGGACATAAGCATAACAAAAACATAACAGATACATAATTCATAATGTTGAATAGTAGCAAACCAACGTATGTGTTCACAATGATTACATAATTTTTATTTTTTTGTAAATGTTTGCGTATGTTTTATGTCCTACCGAAACGGTACATAAAAAATACATAAAGTTGGGTCGGTTTCAACTTTACGTAGGTTTTATGAAAAATCTAGTGGAATTAGGTGTATTTCTGTTGGGTACAAAGACGCAGCTGTTGGTTTGACATTTCAGTTACTACGTCTAACGTGGATGACATCTCTTCTGCCAACATAATCTGGTTATTTTTAAATTGGTACATAGTTTTTGGCGCATTATTTCATAGTTTGGTGTGGTTTGGTCCTTCGTGTGTTGTTTTTTGATTATATCCAACACGACATGGAAAACGTATAGACGTCGAATTATTAATTAGTTTGGTGCGATTAAAACCCTAATTGTTTAATAAAGGGGACAAAAGATATAAGTTTAATAGGTGATCGAATAATCCTGGTGTATGAAAAAAACCATATTCTTCATCATGCAGCTTCATTTCTAGACAAGCTTAAATTCTTAAATTCTCCCCTTTTCTCTCGGTCTCGATTTATAGGTCTGACCCACCAACGCCGTTTTTGTTTTGTAACAACTTTGTCTCTGTGTCTTCATAACAGTAAAAGCAATAAAACTGTTGAAATTTCCATCTCAGTGGCACACACATATACACCACAAATAATATTGTTATGTTCTTGACGTTTTGATTTGCGCCTACGCAGATAATTATAATCTTACGGTCACTGTGAACACTTTCTCCACCTGCGTAAAATTATGTCTTATGTCAATATTATGTTTTATGTATCTGTTATGTTTTTGTAACGCTTATGTCCATTGTGAACAAGCACTTAGAAGAACTATGACAACGTATCATATACGAAATCCTTGACGAAATCAGTCAGATTACCCCAGAAATGTCACAAAACGTGCGACGTCATATTGAACTAAATGTTTATTATTGTATGTAAGTTGGTGGTGATTTCGAACACTAATAAAGTGATAACAAAATTGTTTCTGTAATCTTGAATAACGGTTACTGTTACGAAGTTGATTGCAAATTCATTTAAATCAAGTTTTGTCTGGAACTACTGATCTGATTTTAAAAATAAAAACAGTGCTGAAAACAGAATGAACATGTGTATCGAATTATCTAACGTTTACCACCCCTTCCCATTTAACATTGAAGTTATGTATGTCCTCATCAAAACTAAAATTGACCGGTCAAGTCTTTCTGGCAAAACTGTCGTCAAACGGCCAAAATTGACTGTTTTCATTGGGCCACCCTGTATAAGATTTGCAGTGCAGCTTGGGAAACCTAGAAATCACCTACAAATTATACGCCACAGGGTCTCGATATAAACGGCAACGAACGCTGGATTCCACTGTGCAATTTCTTAAGTGTGATTTTAGAAATAACATTTTTGTTTTGCTTTTTCATTTTCAGAGAATAATTTACGTATAGGTATAAATAAATCATTATAGCTAAGTAGAATGGATAGGTGTAACCGAGGGTGTAACTTTACAAATAAAATGAGAAAATTGAACAAATTTAAAAAATAAATAACTGAATGCCTGTATATTTACACCCGCACGCATATAACACTACAAAAAGTAACCGGCTGCTGTCATGATGTCAGCAATCGCAAACGACGCGACGGCTCGTAGTTATAGTAAGTTCTGGTAGGTACAGTATTACGGTAAGTTAGGTAGGTAGTGTGTAGTTTGTGGACGGTGGGTTGCGGGAAAACATTGAGAGTGAGATACTGCTATGGAACCAAAAGTTACATTCCTGTTGACCCACTTGTTTTTGCTGCTTTTCAAATTTTTTGCACTCAAAGAAGATGTGGTCTAGACTTCCAACCATTCCGCAATGCTCGCATGCGCTATTTGGTAAAACGTTTATCTTGAAATATCAGTGTAAGCCACATGTCCAAATTTTATTCTGGCGATCGTCGTTTGAATTCTATAACATAAGTCAGACCCATAGTGCTTCTTTTTTTCCATACCAGTCCTTATAATCAGAATCCTTAAAAACGATCGCCTGAAAAGCAATTGTGCAATTCACATGACATAATGCTGTGTGTTTGGAAGCACTTTCTATGGGTGCTCTTGGGAATTGGTGCAAATTTGTGTCTTGTACTCGCAAGCAAGTTTTGTGTCAATTGTTTCAATTTGTAACTGTATTATCTTTTTCAGTTTAAATATTTGTAAAGAAATGCTAGACGGACTACGAATATATTTTGATTTTACACTGAAAGATTTGCTGTTGTATGACAAAGAACGCAATCAAGTCGAAACTGCTCAAGCTGTAGTTTTTCCAAATGACAGTACCGTAAAGCACGAATTGTAAGTATATATTTTCATTAATTCACAGTATAGTTCGACTTTTATTGATTAAAATTATGTTAACGGTAATCTACAGTGTCATTTGTTATCACTATCAGTATGTAAATTGTGCAATAAAAAACTAATTTGAAGTGTGTAGTCATGATTTGTATTAGTTTCTATTAAAAATTTACTTTATTTGACAGGAATGTTAAACAAGAACTAGAAGACTTAGAGTACGCTCACTTACCAAACATGGATGCAGATGAGGATAATTACAACAACCATGACGGAGGTCATAATCATTCCAATAATATTGGCCACCGAACTATCAAGCGTAGACGAGGTTTGAGATCTGAAAGAACCGCCGAGGTTCATACTAACGGCAACTTAGATGATTCTTCTTCATACAATAATACCTCTACGTCAAGGTAAGTACCGATCATTTAGTACAACCTACCTTTTTGTTCCTGATGTAACACTCGCTCTGTGACATATCTTCGTCTTTTCTCAGGCAAGGGTGTTTTGTAGTGAGAATGAATCAAAAGTTCTGAGGAGTGTCTTTAGTGACATCTTAGACCATATAGTATATGGACTGCTAATTGTAACTAAAATATGGTCAAGGACATCGCCTGGGTATGTAAGTTTCAGGGTAAACGAGTCTGCCCGAAGTTGTCCGATTAGAAACAATTTGATACTGTCAACCTATAAATTAACAAACGTCAATTAATTAATCGCCTAGATATGCCAACAAAGCAAACCTATTCTTATTTGTGGACGTGTAGAAGATAATCAAGAGTATTTAAAGCTTCCCGTGCTACGCGGTTATTATAAAAGCTACTCTTTACGCGATCCAAGTGGTGTTTAAACGACTTTAGTTTACCCTGAGATTCACATGCCCACATAGATATATAAATACATAGATACAGCCATACCCCAACATAGTTCAAAAGGACGCACCATCTATTACCATCACTTTCGGCACATTAATTACGTATAGCGCTATCCTTTATAGAGGTACCCTGAGCATGGAAGACAAGATTCGCATTATTTATTATAGCTGTCAATCAAATTGTTAGCACAAATCACACAGAAAATTATCAGATTTGAGACTTTACAACATAAATAAACCGCCTTTTTATTTATTTAAATCGCATAGTAGCAAGAAATGTTACATTTAAAATGGAAGATGTTACTTAGAAAGCTGGAAAATGAAGAATTTGAAAAAATTACAGCTGACAAATGGAAGAAAGTGTGTGAACATGTGGAAAGTTATTAATTTAAAAGAGAAGTTATATTGGTTGATGTTTCTGAACTTTATAATAAGTGTTAATAATGACAGTGATGATTCGGATTTGTCAATTTCATCTGACAATGATTCGGATTGTGAACTTTTATAAATGTAATGAATGTTCACTAAATGAGTATTATCACCAATTGGATATCATTGTTAAGATGTTGTATTTATTTTAAATAAATGTACACGTGTAGCTTACTTACTACAATTAGCACTATAATTTCAAAAAGAAACCCCACCGATTGGACATATATCGAAAGGTAGGGCAAGACGCGTAGCGACCAAAATTTGATATTGCACGCACACACAGTCTATAAATCTCGTTTTCCTAAGAATATTGCACGGATCCTTCTTTGTGATCATGATACAAACGCACTGCATCAACATCATATAGGCCAAAATGATAATTGGAAACGAATTCACTTCCTGTCGCAACTTAATCTCCGTAACCATTACGCCTACAACCATGTAATTAAAATTAAATTGTTGAACATAAACTTTACTTACTTACGGTTTTTTTTGATATTCTACAAGCCAGCAATGAATTCACTGCAGCACATCATGCCAAACAAGGTAACCATAGTCCCAAATTTGAATGGCGTAGCTCTATGTAATAAAACTATTTCAGGAATAACAATTATGGATGCGTCTATCATTATGGCAAGCACTAATGTTATTCGTATTCAATTGATAACGCAATAATCACATAATATTTAGTGAAAAAACCGCCCATCATGTTTAGGGCGAATATTTTTAGTTAGATTTGATTTCGCGCGATCGTGAAATGTGTCAACTGTCACATGACTTATGGGACGCGCTAAGTTTGTTTTAAGCGTCCGATTCGCGTACGACATAGTTGTTAATGCAATAAAAAGAGATAGAACATGTTTCTTCTTGGTTAGAAAGTAATGGAGAGATGTACAAATTTTCTTTGATATGTTTTTTAAAAACCGAGGTACGTTTGTTAAGGATGGCTGTATCTAGGTATTTATATATCTATGCATGCCCACAACTACAGTGCCCTCTATCCGTGACCACCCATTTTATATTAAAAGCATAGGGTTAATAGCAGTCCATGTACTATATGGTCTAGGAGTGACATACATATTAATACCTTTTGTAGTAGTTCGTCAAGAAATGCTCAAAATGGATGTGTAGAGTATGTGAATTTCCACTTCGAAAACTTGTATAGGAAGCTGATCCCAAATTTATTTATTATCCCCAATCACAGAGTGACTCGCATAATGCCTTTTAGAGGTGTATGTTTTGTAGGTATTCCAACTGCATTATGTAATGCTGTCATAACAACGAAGTGACAATGCCTCCTATTATATAATTTATTTGTTACTCAGTTGTAAACGTTGATTAACAAGACAAAACGCAAACGGGTAAACGTCATGTTTAAACGCTACTGACTTGTAAAACTGACAGCAGACCTGTAAAACTGACAGCAGACTTGTAAAACTGACAGCAGACCTGTAAAAATTTTACAAGTTAGTAATCTAGTAATTTCATTGGCCAGAATTAATGCGAAGTCTCTATTACATGGATCACATGATATTTTAGACATTTCTTCAAGATCAATTTAAGAACTAATTATTTACGTTTACTATTGTTTACAAATGAGTAACAAATAAAATATTGTACATTATACGCCAGGTAATAGTTTTTACTGGCTCTAGGAGATAACAGGCTCGCCTAACGGCTCGCCAGTCAACTTCTCCTATCGCCAGTAAAAACTCACTTACCTGGCTAATAATGTAAAATACTATTACAACTTTATTCTCCATTATGCAATTTCTTTTACATATGTTAATGTTTCAGCTTGTACTATGCCATCAAAAATGAGTTGCTGTCGAGTCACCGTTGGAATTTTTGTTTCCATAGGAAATCGTACTTAACTTGAACTTCCAAAGGCGACTCGACAGCAACTCATTTTTGATCGCCCGTTATATAAAAATTAAGGTAGATAACAGGATGGTTTCTATAGCATTGTAAACCCCTAGTTAATGGTACCCAAGCGTTAAATTGTTGACTATAGAATGCTCATTCGATAATGAATAGGGGGCATGTTAAAAAAACCCTTGAACCCATCCATTGGTATTACATATTACTATATTAGTTGTGCATTAAAAAAATACTATATAGGGTGTGTCATGTAACAGTGGATAATACCTTTTGTTTTTTCATTTATAGTTATTCCACTGACCGTTAGTATGTTGGGTAAAGTCCACAGGGCGTGTTGGGTAATGTGTCGCTTTCAATAATTCTTATAATAGTGTTTACAATTTACTGACGACAGACGGCGTCATTTTCGCAGTCATATTGTGGAATGTAGAGTGGCGGCTTTCGCGCCACGTTCAAATCTTGATAGCATTCGGCTGAGTCTGCATGGTACGAATGAGACTCCTATGTTGTCGTTTTACTATGGCGATCTTTTATGTGTTGGAACCTTGGGACGTGCGACACAATCGGGACAGGAATTAAGTAAAAGACAGAATTTTTGTGCGTTCGAAGGAATTAAGATAAATGAAATTTATTACGCACGAGGCTTGGTTCCAAACCGAAAAGCCAGGGAAAAACGAACCAGCAAGAAAAAAAAACCGGCATAACACGCAAACAGAAATACGAAATTCACACATATCTCAAATCCTACAACGAAAATCGAGTAATCGAGCCAAATGTTGGTAAACAAATTAATCAAACAAGATACAAATGACATCATAATTACAAATGGTAAACAAAATAAATCATTTGAGTATAAAACACATGAAACACATCTAGGGTACAATTTAGATAAAGTAAATCATAAAATGATAAATTGCATGTACCTACAGAGCATCCAAATGGGCACGACTTTGTTCTGGCATCGTCCACCATTAATTTAACACGGAGAGTGCATGTGGGAATGCCAGAAAGCTAAAGTTGTCACCCCACATACAATCCCGCATTTTAAACAAAAGAAAAGTTAATTAGGGGGCCCTCCTTTTTTTTTAGCTAGACTGCATGAAGTTCTTCCTTTCCACGGAAATAAATGATTAAGCCAAACATTTAGGGCTAACATCACACTGCCCTACTCCCGCGTGAATAAAATAATCGTAAATATTATCATAAAATAGGCCGGCTTAATAAAGTGCATAGTGAAGCCAAGCTAAAACGTTGCTCATCTAACGGTGTACACAAACAATAGCGGCCCACGAAATACCTTCAATCAACAGGTATCAAATCTAAAGCAAAGTTGAAATCGCAGCAAAGTAATATATGAAATTTAAAAATTGAGTTTAAAATAGATTAAATAGGTAAATCAAAGAATTAAAACGAGTACTGGTAACACTTGGAAAAATATCAAACACAAAGAACACTGCAATACAAAAGCAGTAAAACCGGTAGACAAACACCTGCTTTTCAACAAAGCTGGACAACCACTACTCGCGTCGACGCCACCCTCCTGTAATATGTACTTCTCGCCTGCTGGTTTTAACGACTGCGCAGAACGGTGTTCTGAAATTACTTTCGTTGTAAGCTGTAGGGGTAGGTATAACATCACATCCCTAATCCACTTCTTCTTTTGCTGTTCAGGCCAGCTCGCAGTTTCATATTATTACTGAAAGTCTTGGATGATTTTCAGTAAAAGTTATGGTCGTCTGCTTGTAAAACTTTCTAATATCTTTTTATTTTTTCAACAGGGCGACTAGGAATTCTGACACGATGTCGGTTAGTGTTACCAAATTTTTCTCGTGGAAACTGCTTCCTGAACATGTTTTTATCCAACAGCCACTACCACCGTCATTACTGTATGGTGCTACACATCTATTGCGTTTATTCGGTATGTATTACTACTAAATTTTTTTTTCAATTGAGAAGTGTCCCCAAAACTATGCATGGAATTTTCTGTTGATTAAGAAAGTACAATAAATATTGATTTAGTAAATGATGATTTTTTTTAGTGAAATTACCCGAACTGTTAAATACGTGTACTATGGCCGAAAATAAACTGAAAGTATTACATGGGCATCTAGAGTCGTTTATGGAGTAAGTAACATCCAAACGTAAGTTCTCCTTTCTGATGCACTTCTGTTCTAGTTTCTTAAGTCATCATAAGGAGTGGTATAGTGATAGATTTTATAATGATTGAACACAAGTAATGTTGGAAGTTATGTATTTGGTAACAAATAAATTATGTAAATTCGTCACAATTATAAAAATATAAAATAAGTTCACTGTTAACAGTAACAGCATGTGGTAAGTAGTGTTAGTTTTATTTATTTCATTTTTTTAATAATACTGTGTACAATGAATTACCTAACATTACAATTTCGCTGCACACTATGTGCATTGTACAAATAAAATGGTACTAAACTGCAAATACATGATCAAATAATACATTGGTCTAAGCACAAATCACATCTGGTTTCAATGAATAAACAGTGGTCCAATTCAGTTAGATAGAAGGCATTCTACAGTTTGTTATAGGTTGCGGTTTTTACCAACTCTCATGGTACTTCTTTGCACGAGTTTTTTGGTATTGGTTTGGTTTGACATTTGACTTACCTGATGAATGGCTGTGATCACGATGAATTCGAAACTACCCTTAAGCTAAGTTCAGTTTAAATGGCCACGAAAAACAAAAATCATTCTTTTGTTTCTTATTTATGTAAGAATAGATTTGTCACCTCTAATTTAAGTCTATAAAAAAATTGGTCCGGCCACTCAATTCACCCTTAACAATTAGCCAATGTTTGGCAAAACCACAACCTTCTATTTGTCAGAAGTGAGAATCTCTACAATAACATTTGAAAGAGACATGCTGTATAATCAGGCTTAAAAGTAATGATGCTGCAATTCGCCGTAAATTTGAAATTCAATTATTTTTAATTAATTACCAGAGCAGATAATAAGAACCCAGCTTGTTGCTGATAGTTCATGACATAATGGGCCGTATGAATAAAAGTAAGCAAATGCTTATACTTGCAAAATTCAAAGTAAATACTCGTAACTGCCCCTTCATACTGGTCTGTTTAGCATGGTTTAGCAGCGCTGTACTGCGTCCTTTCCTTTTGCTTAGAAGCGTTCCTAAGTCGCCCAGTGCGAAGGAGCACTTACGAGTATTTACTTTGAATTTTGCGAGTATAAGCATTTGCTTACTTTTATTCATACGGCCCAATATGTGAATGGCGCAAAACTTTTATAGGATGAGGTTAATAACCATTGGATAGATTTGAGTGGGTGTGATATGAAATATACAGGGTATGGTAAAATTTGTTTATATTGAAATATTTTCTCCCCTAATTATTTTTCAACAAAGTTTTAAGTAAATTTTTTGTTGTGGGAAGTTGGAGGAATTACGGAAATTATACATTAGCATTTTAGTAAAAATCACTCGTTCTGTGAAATAGGGTCTTCCTGAAAAAAAATATAGTAACTTTTTTGTGTCTTACTATAAAGTTTATAACCTGTAATTAAACATCTCATATACAAAACCTTTTTTTTCTATTTCGGTGTCACAATGATGATTTTGTACAACTGTTTTCGGCCTAAAACAGTTGTACAAAGACAGTGATTATAGTCGTTTTCTTTGGTAACTCATCTCTTAAGTTGGCAGTTACTAGTTAGTACAAGTAGGTACTTCGTTGGGTACTTCCATGTTTGAACTTCAAAATGTCAGTCTTACTACGCTGCCAACCTAAAACTTAAGGCATAAAAAGTGTTCCCAACATAAAACATGTTAGTTCTAATGTTCCCTATAGTTTCTGATAATGATTTTTTTAATTAAATTAAAGCACCGAAATAGAAAAAAATAGTATGAAAAACGCGTGTTACAATGCTTTATACTCCTATCTTGCGGACACTCGTGGCTACGCTTCGCGTCGCCACTCGTGCCACAAGATAGTCGTATTACAATAGGTCGCATTGTAACACTTGTCTTTCAATATACTATTTTCTAATTGCAACATGTCAGGAAACAACATATAAAACTTTCAAATTTTGTCATGCAACTGACGACATGCCGATAGTGGCCGAGCGTCGCTTACGTCACTACGCAAGTTGCCGATAGGGAGTTATATTAGTGCATGACACTGATAGGAGTTCGATTCCACTTATTATGGCAATCTGCCATAAGCTGAGTTCTGAATGGTTCGTAAAGGGGCAGTTAGATAGTCTGCCAAAGGTTGAAGTGTTAAGGGGAGTCAAAGCCCAGAAGCAAATCTGTTATGGTTCATAGGAAGTATAACATCCAGTTTATGTGTGTATAGTGCAAGGTATAGTGTAGGTACCTAATAAAGTATGCACCTTACGGGTTTCAACGAGAAAATTATGGTGTTGGATATGTGGAAGTGAAAATAGAGAAAAATGTGTGCACTGTAAGGGCACAGATATGCCCAGAACAGAGTTCGAAGTGAATCATATTCTGAATTGCAATTACAATATTACATATCGATGGATTTTCGTCGAACAAAAATTAGATTTTTACGCAAATACTAAATTGTATTTTGTTGTATTTGAACAGACGCAGAATTTTTCAAGCTACAAGAAACCTATTTACAACATTGCTCTAAATTAATTAGGGAAGAAAATATTTCAATATAATAGGTATACAGTGCGTTCAAGATAAAAGGGTCACCGCAATATCTTTTTTATTTGGTGTGACAGAGCAGATCAATCAAAACTTTATTATTATTATAATTTGCTGTACGACAACGTAAAATATGCATATGGTTGATTCACAAAAAAATGGAAAAATTTGTAATTCAATATTTATAGCGCGCTCGCACCCCCATATGCAGTATGGGGTCTTATGGACTAATTGCCTCTCTTACTAGTTTGCGTCATTCTTCGATAATACTATCCTTGTTTCTGACCGCATTGATGTCAAATTGGCATATGATTAAATTGAAGTATTAAAACAAAACATAATCTCCTTGTGCTGTCATTGTCACGTTTTGTATGTCCATAAGCACCATACTGCATCTGGAGGTACGAACGCGCTATAGAAAACTTATGAAATTCTAACATGCCGTCTGCCATATCACACAGAAAAGACCTACATCAACTTCTTCAATGTTTTGCGCGATACGATTTGCCCGTGTAGCACAACAAACGCAGCGGATCCTGACAGCACACAGCATGCTAGATTTCATAAGTTTTCTAAATATTGAATCACTAATTTTTCCATTTTTTTGTTCATTACCCATATGCATATTTTACGTTGTCGAATTGCATTTGAAAAACAAAAGTTGCCACGATGATACCCGATGTTTCAATATGCGATCGGATACATCGTAATGTTGCATATTATATTGATCAAATTTTTCGTATCTCGCCAAATAAAAGAAATATTGCACCCTCTTATATCGAACATACTGTATATTTGTAAGTTATAATAATTAAGGTGGAACAGATATTTCACCGAGTATTGGATATTCGACATGTGGTCATGGTGCGTTGAGTTTAGCGCCGCTCAAGTACTGCCTATACGATTGGAAGAATTTGGGCATGTTCATCAGAGGTCATCGTGACTTAGTGATTAGGGAAGCAAATATTAGTTTCTTGCACTTTATTAAAAAATCATGGTTTTGTACTATTGTGTATCAGGTTGAATATTGTGTTACTATCTGTTATTCGCCCGGATATCAAAATATGGCCAGATACCGGATAGTTACAGGATACCTGTTTCATCTGTAGTAATAATCATCACACAATTGTTGTCTCTAGCTCCCTATTCTGCTTAATTCAGCATATGAATCAACTGTTCTGCTTAAAGAAACTCGAATGTATGTAATGAACAAAAGTAATAACGTATGTCTGTTAACATCATCCCCCCATGTCACAATTCAATGGAATGAAAATGAAAAATTTGTTGCTGATGCCAATAGGTGACACAACAACTCATTTTTGATCACAGAGTATTAGATGTGACTAAAATCATCACTCAAGAGATCAAATTTGTTACTCACACCATATACAGGGTGTCCCAGATCTGGTGTCAAGAATGATATCAACATGAAATTCTAGGAATAGCAACTTCCTTTTGTTAAAAATGGGTGCAATACTGGATTTTTATATGATTAAAGAAATGATTTTGTTCTCTTTTCAAGGATGTGAGATCGCATATGATTGAACAAAGGAGTTCTATTGGTCTTCTAGTATAAAAACAGTCACTTCAACCATCGCAGGTAGCACTGCAAAAACTGAAAAAACTGCAAAACTGGTCGTCTGTGAGGTGTACACAACTTATGCTATTATATTTTCATCTCTATGTAGCCCATGCGAAGAAAAAGATATGTTTTGCAGTGGGCGGCTACATGCGACTGTTTTCATACTAGATGGCGTATAGTAAAGTAAATTATTTTAACATTTTGAACAAGTAGGCGAGTTAATTTTTTGAGTCGATCATCGATTATCTTTCACCATTAAAAAAAATAAAAAACACTTTTTAACCATTTAAACTATGTTTGACTAATGAATTATTAAATTGATTAAAAAAAGTTAACTAAGCCTACTTGATTAATTTAGTTTTATTCTTTGTACAATTATAGGTATAATGTCACATCGAAAAGAGACTAAAAATCTGTTTGTATAAAAATTAAATATGGCACCACTTAACAAAATAATGCAAGTTGATTACCCTCCATCTTGAATTTCATTTTTAATACCATTTTTTAGTTCGTTCTCTCAAAATGAGAAATGTTATTACATTTTCTCACAACTTTTATAATTCTGAAGCAGTTTTTTTTAATCCGACCCAATTTTGCAAACTATTTCAGATAACAAAGTAATATTTGCCATTCTAACTTTTCTGGCAAAAAACACTTGTACTTATTTAGCAATAAATTAATGTTTGAACTCCTTTCAAAAACACAGTGCTGCTTTGGTTAATAATGTGGTCTTCCAATCGATCTCATTACTTTTCAGCGTGATTATAACTGTGTTGTGTCACTTGCACCTACTCTTATCTATATTGATTCACAAATTACAACTGCGTTTTCCTAATCTCTCTGATTTAGAAATAATTTTATGGATTGCATACATAGAATAACAGAAAATTGACTAGTTCTTTTACTCATGTCTGTGTATTTAGGCAATGGCTTAAAATGTATTGTTTGACGATTATACCTACTAATTGAAATAAAATGAGGGGTTGAAAAACCGCTTACAATTAATTCTCACCGAATTATTTCATTCGAAACACTGGCGTCTGGATTCTACTAGGTAAACTCGAACTAGTCTTGGTAGTGCTAGACGTCGTAGGTTTCATGAATGATGACACTTGGTTTTGCGGTCTAGGTGGCTTCTGGCTGGATGTGGGGGGCGTTCGTCGCACTAAACCACCTTTATTTGTTGAACCTAAGATTTTTGCACTAGGTGTTCTATTTATTGTTTTAGAAGTGTTGCAGTTTCCATTGGTAGGAGCCTTTAGTTGAACTCTCTTGACCGTGCAAGTTGATGTTGCACTGTTTAATGAACTACGAGAACTAACCAAACTATTTCGCGAGTTAGATCGTTCTACAAATTTTTTATCGGGTGCAATTGATTGCAACTCCATCTTACGCAAACTAATGGACCTTCTAGGTATAACGCTAACTTTTGAAGATGGTGCGGATTGTTTTATTGAATTATTACGCGCGACTTTCTGCGATGAGTTACCTAGTAAATTTTTCGTCGCCATTTGCACTTGCTTTGAGTTCTTTCCTACGGAATTTGGAATATGAGTCCTTCCCGTCACATTAATAGATGGCCGATTGTTGTCATTGTAACCTGCAATTATCAGATTGGCGTCAACCATATCAGGTTCATAATTGCCACCAGATGAAGCACCTTGACTGGGCGACTCAGACATCAAACTTTGAGTTTCTTCAAATCCTTCGTCATTCTCATGCTCCTTTGATTTACGACTATGCGAATCTTTGATATCAATGGGTGACGACACGTTTAACTGTAACGCTTTCTTCACTTCCTCATGATTTATTCCAGTTTGATGCCGGTTTCTTCGCGTTATAGAGCTCTTTAAATCTGAAGCTGTCTCTGCTTGATTTTTCAAACGATCTTGCCAAACTTTTAATCTGCCGTCTTTATCCAAGTTTGATTCTTCACTAACGGTCGTGGAGGTCTGCAAGGGAACTTGAGACGGCTTTATAACTTGTGCATCTATCACTAATTCAGGAGACACTGCATCTGTATTTTCAGATGTTCTCTTATATCTCCTAGTTCGCCGAGTAGCCGAAAAACGATCAAACTGTCCATCGCCTAATGTTGCAGATCCTTCAGTCTCATGAGCACACTGTTTGTCTTCTTTTGATCTCGTCATCAATCGTTTACATGGGCTAGGCATACTTGGTTCACGCTTATCAACCGGTGTAGGTGTAAATACCCGCCGTATTGCTGGAGGTGTTTCGATGTTATCTTGATCTATATCTACCTTGTTGCCTGAATCGGAATCGTTCATTTTCTGTGAAGCTGCGGATCGTTTCTCTTTTTCTTTTACGGGGGTAGCAATTTGGGATCCCGGATTACAAATGTACAATGTAAGTTTGTCTGAAGCTGGTCGTGCAGCTAAGGACGAAATCAGTTCCTTTCGATCGATTGTAGATGATTTCAAATCTGTAGTATCTGCAGAAACCCTGACTTGCGGCGCATGTCTATGACGCATGGATTCTTCTGCCGTGGCCTCTGTGCTATTTGCAACGTTTAAATTTGATTTTCTCCAAGCTGATTTATCCTTGACTGATGGCTGCGCTTCTAGATTACATTAATGCATTAGTAAACATCACATACTATTTGTTAATCATATAGTTACAATAAAAGAGCTGAGTTCCGAGCAGTGTTCGTAAATGGCATACAGAAAAATGTGGCGCTAATTGAACAATTGGAAGATTCTGGCAACATAATTGACTTTGTCACACACCACACTCTCATAAACATATACAGGGTGGTGACTTGCGTAACGTATCATAGGGATTTCGATGTAAAATTCATAACATGCCATTATTGGCTCCCCGAATTATTTTAGAGCAAAAATGTATTAAAGTTTTTTGTAGAAAAAATTTTTTTACGCCAATCAACCGTATTAGTTTTCAATTTTTTTCATATAAAGACGGAAAATTGGAAAAATAAAACCCGCATCTTTTTCAATAATCTGCAAATCCATGGAATTTTCTAAAACAAAAAGATATCCAGTTATCAATTATAGTCTAAGAGCCAGTGAAAAGCAGACCCAACATATTTCAGTAAACCCTCAATTTTGTCCAAAGACTCTTATACTTACTGTTCATGAGTGGGGGACTAGCTTAGCCAGATCGAGGTAGGTTGAGTGGCGCTCGGGTGAAACAGCTATAAAAATTGCACCATATTCGAAAGTATTTCAGTAAAGCTGCCATTGACATATTTTAAATTATATCATTTCTTTTATTGGAAAATCACGACGGCAGATAGTTATGGCGGTTATGAAGTCACGGCAGACGCTTCTCAAAATTTAAAAAAAAATGAATTTTAAAAATATTTCAGTAAATCTGAAATTTAAATATGTTATTCTTAACAGTATTTCTAGCTTACATTTATCATGGCAGACATTTTCATCGGTTATAACAATCTGGCAGACAGATAAAGTACCGCTCGAGCATACGTATACAATTATACATGTGTACAGTAAGTAAGTACTTACCTACTTTTCTGTTAGTTTAATCAGCATGTTCTTGAATTTACTATTACCTACTATTATTAAGCATCCTCAGATCTAGCCCTTTATAGTTTTGTATTGTCGTCCGTCCGGGACGGAACGGCAAAATGGCGTAGCGCATTTAAGTCATATATAGTCAACATCCATAAATACGGAATGAAGCTCTAGCTCATGATCGATAACAGAAGGTTATGGAGAAATTGGAAGATTCATTGCATTTTTCCCACACAAAAATAAAACAAATATAATAAAAAGTGCTGATACCAAATGTTCCAAACGGCAATGCAGTCTTCCCTGTTGATATAAAATTGTTTATTATTATTTTGAAATCATAAAGCAGTTATGAAAAGTACTGCCAGATGCCATCTATTAACACACTACGGACACACAGTTCGTATAACTTGTATTATTAATAAACAAAACCAGTTATATTCTTACCTTCAACTGTTTCCATTGCACTCACGATATCCATTTTATCAATTGTGGTTGATGGAGTCCAGTCCGGATAAACTCTTCTGTACACGGACTGACTGCCACTGTATACCTGCTTCCCTTCAGGTAACGTTTCCAAGTTACTACTTCTTTCACTCTCTGCATCAATATAGATTCGCTTTAATAATGCGGACAAAAAAGGTGACTGTAATTACCTGAATCCATTTCGAATGATCGTCTATTGACAATACGTTTTCGACGTGACTCATCTGTAATTTGATCACTTTCGTTGGCTTGCAACCAGGATTCGATTTTTTGCCGCCATTCTTTCGGTTTGGCTTCTTCTTCGCTAGGGGAGAATATTGGTTTTGATTCGGAGAGTGGTGAAGGTGAGGAAGGCCTTTCTCTGTCGTAGGAAAAATCGGCCCCCAATAGTGTTGGTCGTTTACGTGAAGCATTGCCGCGCGCTTTTCTTGCCCAAGACCGATCTAGAAAATTTTATTTCCCTAAACTATTTGAACAGCATATGATTTTCATACCTAAACTGCCCCAAGATTTTCTTTCGCGATTTTCATGACCCGACGTCCTCAAAAAATCCATTAAATTTCCTTCATCTTCTTCGGAAAGTACTCGACTTCTTCGCCTTCGCAAACTGCCATTTGGTGTTATATCTAATAAAAAAAGGTATCTATTATAAAAATGCACGTGGTGCGCAAAAAAATAAAGTCTCACGCGGGTGGACATCGCGTTTTGTAGACACTTATTTAGGCATTACTCAAAAACCTGATCTCATAATCAAAACAAAATTCTAAAATTGATATGTTTAGAAAAGCATTCTTTTGGCAAACATTGTTACAGAGACAGACAAAATAAGACGCTTATGTATCTATTACACAAGGATACTCAACCCTTTGCCTTTGATATTTTACCCTTCAGCCTTCTCCAATACGAGGTAAACTCGTTAGCCACAACAATACACTCAGCTTTTCTTATTGGAACTTTGTTTGCTTGAATCAAGAGAGCCTACCAGGTTATAGACCATTGTTCTAAAAATATCTGGACTGTTTGGTACCACAGTGTAAACTTGTGGATGAAATCCATATCTTTTGTATTATTATGTATATAAAGCGATGTAGTATACAAGAGGGATTTTTTTTTAAATATTGATTTATGAAAAAAATTTATTGTTAATAATATTTTTTGCTTGCTTTGAAAGTACCAATGACGTTTTGATTGTGCGTGGTTTGATAGCAATACTCTATAGCCTGTCTCACAATTGACGTCAACGTGAACGCTAACGCGAACGTGAACGTGAGCATTTAATTAAAACATGAATATTTACTATTTCCATTCACATATAACGCAACGGGAACGGGAAAACGTGAAACAAACGCGACAGTTGGTCAACTTTTATCTTTCCCGTTCCCGTTGGCGTTTTAAACATGCGCGCGCTTGCGATCCAGCCACATAACCTTTAAAGACCAAACTTAACTATTTCTGTACGAAGTATTGCATGATTATCCGTTTGTTGAATTGAATAGAATAGTCTGTGACTACCACAGAACACATTTTAATAAACAAAATATTCCGTGACAAAACTTAACACTCCAGGAGCGTAACGTTAATTGTGAGACTGCGAATTTGTTCATGTTCACGTTACCGTTTGCGTTTCCGTTGGCGTTTACGTTTGCGTCAATTGTGAAACAAGCTTATCTTAATTATCATGTAGAATGATAACTTTCAATTAAAAAATTAATTTTATTATTTTTCCAGATTTCTATAAATAAATTTTAGATTATCGAAACGTTATTGGTACTTTCAAAGCAAGCAAAACATGTCATGAAGAATAAATTTTTTTCATAAATCAATATTTTAAAAAAATTCCCTCTTGTATACCCCTGCGCTTTACACACTGTATAAGCACAAAGCGAATCCAATTAATAATCGATAAGAGAGACGAAAAATTTCGGGCCTGTCTATCACACTTTCACTAATGGAGTCTTGGAGTTTTCTGATGAAAAACACGATCGCGCATTTATAAAAAAAACTCAATGCAGCCTAAAGTAGATAGGACAAAGTAAAAATACATTGTAACGGAGTGAATTCCCCATGAAAAAATTCCCTGGCAGCATATATTAATCGTTTGAGTTTAAATAACTTCTCAAAGTTTTCAGTTCACATATGTTTTTGATCGATTCATTTTCGCTTTCAAAGTTTGTTTTGCAGTGATCGCACGTTATTCGTAAACGCTACGAAAATGACACGAAACATAAACGAACTTTTTTGTGTGTCAATAATGGAAAATAATATATTATTTTTTGTGGAAGATTTAATATAAAAATGTAAACATAAAAGTTATTTCTATATATCTCTTCGTCTATTTCGGTTTGGCCTGCGGTTTGAAATAAAAAGCGCAATCGTGATTTAGGTAAGAAAACACCATAAAACTCCACTTCCAACTATAATATTTCTTCACAATTTAACAAGCCGTTACTGTGCTATTGTTTGCGTTTTGTCCGTCCATCTGTACCCACTTCTGCGGTTGTGAACTACTTTTAGGGGAATTGTCCTAGAGGCCTGGATTTTTTTCCAATAAGGTATGCCAGACGGCTATCAAATTCGACTATCTTAAAGCCCCGCCCCCCCTGAATTATTTTCAGATATGTATGCTGGTTTTGGAAGTGAAACGTGCATAACTTTTACATGCGGCAACCAATTAGTCTCGGATTTTGCTTAGGCCTGCCTTTAGGTCTCATAGAAAGGAATTGTAACTGTCTTCCGTGATTCTTGTCGAGATCAGTGGGTGACTGGGAGGGGGGGGATATTGGTTTTATCTTTCATGGTACTTTAATTAAGAGGGTAGTTCGATGTTTCCCGGGAAATTTAGTGCGCGAGCACACTGATAATTATGTTACGAATTGTGTAATAATAATAATGATAATAATAATTAAAGGTCTCAATGAAAGGAACTGTTTAGCAACGATCGCAGCTCAGTACAAAAATGGTATGTGTGAAACAAAGCGGCCTCTAGGCCAGTTGGGAACGTCACAAATCATAACCAATCCCCGTACATATTCTTACGTGTCCCTGCATACAAATATACTACACTAGTTGTACCCCTATTCAACTTTGATTTGTTTTGTTTGGACCAGACACAATCTTGATTGTTAATCAATACGTAAGTTTTTCCATTACATTGTGGAACTCATCAATCTGGAGTTTTATTGAATATCAGCGGGCCTTAGAAATCAGTGACACCAAGTGACCAAAGTGCGCAAAATATCTTTCATTTCTACGAAATTTGGTATCTGCGTGGTTTTTAGTACGAAAATAGCGAAACCAAAATTAATTTTTGAAAAATCGAATACCAAATTCCAACCATAATTTTGAATCGGATAACAAGTAGCACAAATTTCTTGTAGTTGGTTAAGCATGTGCACTTATATATTTAGGAACAAGACCATGTACGCCGATGGCAGGTTTTGTAGTAATGGGTGGTGCAAAAAGAATAGGTACTTTAGAAATAAGTATAACTTCTATAGTTTTCAACATTATTTTTATTTATTTATATGCAGGGTATTTTTTGGAAGCTTTAGTTAAACGTTTCTTGGAAAGTAAAATAGGTAGGTTTTTGAAAATTTGTACTGCATCCGCCATTTTTTTAATTAGAAGTCAAAATAATTTAAAAACCATAAATTGTAGATATTGTTGTGAAAACTTCCTAAGACTGAAACTACCCACACAACTTACCCTTGTTAGCTCAATCTCACAAAAACTCTTTAAAACACAAATCTCAGGGCCCGTAAAATGAGTCCGACTACCCCTTTTTTTCGTCCGGACAAGGGGTAGCAACCTCGCCACGTCGGTGGCTAATACCTCCCTTAAATTCCAAATAAAATAATCCCTTGTTAACTGACTTCTGGAATGAAATTTAAGTCCCACCGATGATCCAAACCTTTTTACGTTACCAAACTCGTTTCACACTCGGGATAAAAAAAAGAAAACTTAAAATTTGAGAAACTCGAATCCTGACCTTTACTTTGACACACACAAATAATAAATGACAAACAAAAAAAATAAAAATTTTACAAAGCTAAATTTACAAAATCTGAAAAAAATAATTTACACAAATTGAAACACAAAACCGTCTCAGACGGCGATTCTAACAATTAAATTAAAACAAAAATGACAGTACTCACGGTGCTAATCTTTACAAATGCACAAACTACCGATGCACACAAAAACACAAACACAGCCCCAGGTATGTGCTGACACAGCTACTCCAACAGCTCCTCGGCGATGCTGGCGTTAAACAAACGTTCCGCCTACTCCAGATGATGTAAATTACAACGCAAACGAAAATGTTGCTGCTAAAATGGCATTATTGTACCGCTCGTTTCCCTTCAACAAACTCCTTCCAAAAACCTTCTTAAAACTCCTCGATGCCGGCGTACTCCAAACGTTCCCGGACTTTCAAATAACAATAGACGATGAATAAACTGGCGTAACTTTAGCAAACGCCGCTATAATAAACTTTCCAAAAATCTTCACATAAAACAAACGTAGGCTTCGCGAAACGGTACAATAAGCCCCTTCTCTTCGCTGTTCAAACCATTTATACCCCAGTATCGTCAAATCTCGTTGCGACGCTTTTCCATGAAAAATTCGAATTTCGGGGCCGATAACACTTAACGGTCGACTCCGCGGACCAATACCATAATTGCATAAATAAAACTATTACCGATCGTAAATCAACTTAGACTGGCACTTTTACGAGTTTTAACACGCCAAAATTCCTATGAAATTCGTTCTTAAACGACTAAAAGTTTCCTTATCTAAAGTAACACTTGTGCAAAGCGCGTGCACTCTGCTAACTTCCACGAATTTAACAACAACAAGACAAAATTTATTACATTTAAAATTTACTAATTACGGATTCGATTTTCCCAGACTTAAGTTTCTTAAGTAACTCCGGCCGAGCATTAATTGAACTAAAACAACAATCCTCTGCATAAAAATGGGAAATAAACTTCTTTCCAGAGTAAATAAATGCCGTCCAACTGCGGCCTAATAAAAAAACACAACAATATGTGGGTATCAAAAGAACTGAGATTTCATGTAGAATTCAAAAATGCAATAAAAAAATAGGGGTTGCCAATTTAAATTAACGAAGTTACTAGCTACTTCCGTTATTTCCGGAAGTGCCACCATTTTAAAAACATTTTAAATTGATCCACCCTTAAGAGCAACTCCTAAGTGCAAATTTTCAAAAACATATGTATTTCACTTTCATTATTTTTTTTCCCAGAAACCTTCCCAAAAAACACCCTGTATAAAGGATCTACATTGAACCCAATTATTAGAAAATGAGTATTCTGACAATGTTCATTCGCTTACGGAAAATAACTTCTCGACGCTGACGTTCTTCTGCATTAATACACATAAAAAGCTTTTCCTCGAAATTCTCCATAACTCACTACAGTTTCTATTTCATTAATTATTCTCTACAGCGAAAACGTGATATTCAGTTGAAAAGTCGCTATGTTCCAAATTTTCAAGAAAGGGTTTACTAGTTTTTTTCATTTTTGAAGATTCCCAAATGTATAAGATTACAAAAACAATGCTTGTTTTGGTCCGTCTATCACTCAATTGAAATTGTAAAGGAGTAGAAAATGTAAATCCATTCGTTCTACCCCCTTGTATATAGAAGTAAATTGTAGAAAATGTTGCGTGTTAAATGTTTCTTAATATTAAAATGTAATGGTCCAGTATTATGAAATGGTACTCACCGGGAGATTTATCTTCTTTTCCTGTTATTGAGGGGGTTGTATCTCCACTATATTGCCCATTGAAAGAACCTAATCTACGTCGGGTGACTGACGGAGAACCTGCAATCGATAGCTCTTCTTCTGACGTCACTATATTACCATTTGCCACCTTCCGACCCTATGAAATATTTATTTTTAACCACACGTGTTCATACGACTTATAATTGAGTGTTCACATGTACTAAATTAAGCTTAAATCTTTGTGGGTGTTGTGAAGGAATCTAATATTAAAATCTTAAACATAAGATGAATTTTGCCTAGGCATAATTATTATCGTATAGGACCTGACAGAAACTTTTTAAAATCATGGGGTTATCGGTTCGCCTGTGCGCATGGATAAAGGGAGAGTTTAACCCTATTGAGTTTGAGGTCACAAGGTTATAAAAAGCGTTCTCTGTCGGGTTCTGCGATACTGATGTATTGGTTTATTTCAATAGCAATTCTGGTTAAGTATATTTTGGTGTTTCAAATTAATAGTACTCTCTACCAAAAAAGTAGCAAAACACATGAACAAAGGGAGATGGCTTGACAGACGGGTTATAATAGCACCCTTTCAGTACTAAAGTAGTTTGAAAATCGAACGAACAGGTGGGCGGACAAAGTGTCCACAATAAAATAACCGCTCTTCTGATTTGCGAAAATGCGCCAAAAATAAGTTACTTTTGCACAATGAATTTCAATAATTTACCTTTTTCATTGGAAAGCCAGTGCGAGGGTCATATATTTGAGTGTCATTAAACGTCCCTTCAGAATCAGGTGTTCCTGCCAAACTACCCACTATAACGAAAAAATTAGCAATCCACTTCCTTACAATTAAATAACTCTTACTCTGACGTCGTCGTGTTGCAATAAGTTCTTCTCTTTGCTTTCTTCTCGCGTTGGCGTGTTCCTCTTGAATTTTTCTTCTTGTATTTTCGGCCACTGCCTGACGAAATTTAATATATATGCCGTGAAAGATTCTGTAGCATTCTTCCAATTTAAAAGTGTTGGCATCCTCACAGAAGAAGTCTGCTAGTTGCTTTCGGACGTTTTCTAATTGTTTCATATCTCTTTGCAGGTTTGTGACTTCCCGTTCTGCCATCTAAAAGTAGATGAGTTAGCACTTAACAGTAAATTATATAACAACCATCAGGAAATCTGCCATTTGGAACTTTATTTCTGTCTCGGTGCTGGGTAAGTCAATCAGCTTTTTGATTTTCTTTATTCTAACGTCCAAAGTTTTAATTTCATTATGCAATTGCTCTACAGTGTTCCTAAAAGAAAAGTGTCTCTAAGAAACAGATTCAAAGTAAATGTCTCACTTGGCCGCATCTTCTAATACCCCTACATTATCGGCGAAGGTTAACAATTTCGGATTATTTCTCTTTTCAGCTTGCTAAAAACACTTAACTAAAGGCGTGAACACATCTTGCGTTTATACTTACCAACGCTACATAGTGAATCAAATTCATATTAGGCTTATTTGCCCTGATGTCTGTTATTTTTTGCAATGAAGATAATTTTACTCCTGCGGCATTCCCAGCATATCCGCCCTGGAAGAGTACAGTTTGATGTGACTCGACAGGAAGTTATAAGTACTTACAGAGTTTAAAAAATTTCCCGCCACAAGAATCATGTATAGCACTTCTTGCAAAGGACTATTGGTCATTAAGTCTGTAAATCAGTAAAATTAGTCAGTATGTCTAGGGATGCCACTCTAGAATCAATATTTTGATGTAATTCTTAATATTTAACAAAATCGAATTCTTTATTAATTTTTAATAAAATCGCTCTTTAATGGGAGAATTAATTACTGAAAAAATGAATATAATATTTTTTGTAAGAGGAACTTATCGTTAAAGATGAAAATGTTATGGATTTTAGACGTTCTGCACAAGTGTGCCAGTCACGCCTGCCAGTATGCACAGCATTCGAATAGAGATTGCCCTCAACACCTAAGATCAAGAATCATCACTACCTGATGCATCATTGCAAATCCATACATAAGACACTGTGTGTAACGACATAAAAATGTATGAAACAAAGTCAAGTCTGAGTACCTACAAACATACAATGAGACAATGAAACAAGACCAGATAGTCCAGTCAAATAAGAAAAAATAAAAACATTAATCGGTAAAGATCTGAATTTTGGTACACATGTTCATTAGTGTTCCCCATTGGACATACTAAAAGTCCCTGTCAAAATCTGTTGCGCTCGAGGCACCATATTGGAAAAAAGGAGCACTTGTTCAGTTTCTTGCCTATATATCGGCAACAATTATTGATACGGAAAAATAGCTCAGATAAAAAATATAGTTTATTAAATTGCCGATAAAAAAACATATTAACATTTTTTTGTATGCCCAATACTTTAGCTATAATCCGACATCGAATAGGGAATCAAGTATCCTGAGCTCTCGAAACCGTCGCGCAGATTTTTTTTTCAACTTTTTACAAATCATTAAATTTATTGAAAATTCTGCCAGTATTTCTTATATATGCGAAGTCGTCGCACTCAAGCTTGGTATGAGACACGTTTCTCATAAAACTCTCTCTCTCTCTCTCAATAGAACTTTCATCTTCAATGTGAGCAGTTGAGCACTGAGTGTGGACTGGGAGCCTTCAGTGTCCGAACAGGGTCAAGGAAATCGTGGACTCTCCTTCAACTCCACAGTTCGGGAGATTTTCCATATCCACGGAATTTCTGAACTTGCTGATTAATACGAAACGTGTGTTGCTGCGCCGCTGCAGCCCTGAAGGTCTGGTAACGATGTCGGTTTAAATATCTCTCACTGGCAGACACGTTATATGCAGAGAAAGGCGTTCTCCAGCTTCAGAAATCATTTCGTGGCTCCAACAATTTTAATTATTTTCGCTTACCTTTTTGAAAAAAAACATGATGCTGATGCCGTATCATCAAACATTATGTCATTGCTAGAATGCTTTATCGCAAGACGATTCTGTTCATTTTTTGGTGCTTTTACAGCTTTCGGTGTAGTCATAAAAAAGACGGTCTCCTTCCTATAACTACGATAAGGGGCCTAAACGCGTTCTGACATATTCAACGTGAGATTACAGCTAAAGTATTGGAGGTACAAAAAAATGTAAATACTCTTTTTTATAGAGAATTTAGTAAACTACTTTTCATGTACCTAAACTATTTCTTCCTATCAGTAATAGTTGCCGAGACATTGGCAAAAAACTGGAAAAGTGTACCGTTTTTCCAAGATGGCGTCTCGAGCGCAACAGATTTTGACAGGGACTTTTAGTATGTTCAATAGAAAGTCCCAATAAATGTGTATACCAAAATTCAGATCTTTACCGATTAATGTTTTTATTTGTCCAAAATTGCGCCAATTTGACTGGACTAAGAACTGCAATTAACGGTTTGCCAAGGAATGAGGTGCAGGGATATGTCAGTTCCATTGAATTTGGGAAACAAAATCATCAAAGTTAAAATACCAGATAGACACTTTGTCGTGCCAAGTAGTTTACCATTTTGGATATGAAATGAGGAAACCTAACAGTAAAACAAACAAAAAAAGTTCATACATCATTCGAAACTGGGCATTTGCCAGAGAGAGAGGCACGTTTTACACAAACTATAGTAGCTCTTCATGGCCAATTGAATACCTGACCTTCACACAACATGAATGCTATTATATTGCCAACAAAAAAGACACAAATTTTAAAAAAACAAAAGGGCAGCATTCAAGAAAAAAAAAGAATAAACATTTAAAAATAACAAGCAGCATTCGCAAATATTTTTGAACTTTAAAAAAAAAACCTCTGAATTCAAAAACTATTTTTTTAAATCTTTTTTTAGGGACAGGGGGCAATAATACCATCTCATTAAAAAAACAAACTATTCCGGTGTGATAACAAAACATCCCAAAAGAATAGAAAAGGGAAGATCCCATTTAAACAAAAGACAAGTTCCATTAAAATAAAATAAAAAAAGGCCAGATCCATTTCAAAAAATAAAATGATCGGGCAGGTCCCATTTCAAAAAAAATTACAAAATAAGGTAGGCCCCATTTGAGCAAAAAAAGGGCTAGGGCTGGGTCCATTTTAAAAAAGGACATAAAAGGACAGGGTCCGTTTCAAAAAAATTAACAAAAAAGAGCAGATCCCAATTAGAAAAAATAACAAAAAAGGACAGGACCCATTTAAAAAAAACCAGGACACGTTTAAAAAAATAACAAAAAGGGCAGATCCCATTCGAAAAAAAATATAAAAGGGCAGGTCTCATTTTAAAAAAATACCAAAAAGGAGCAGGACCCATTGCATAAAAATAACAAGTTAAAAAAGTTTACAAAAAAGCGCATTTCCACCTTAATAGTCTTTGTCCGAAAAAATTAGTTACTCCAACGAAACTCAATCCGTCCACAAATAAGAAAGTTAGCATTGCGCATGCACAATCTATCCTTTGACATGTCATTTCAATTTGATTTTTATTTAAACAGAATCGATAATTTGTTCACAATTTAATAACACAAGTAAAACAACATAATTCAGGAGAAGACACCACAGCGTGGTTACAGAATACAGATAAGTACTTCAGTGTTGGTATCCTATCGTAATTAAAAGTAACTAAGTAATCTATGGTAATGAGCAAATGTTTTGAATATAACCTCAACAATTTTATAAGAATCATCTTAACGTATAGAATTCATAAACACAAAAATCGTATATAACTGAATACATCAATCACTTTAAGGGGTTGATTCTGTCCCACCAGACCAGCATAGCTTGTAAAACAAAATTTTTAATTTGGTATTAGTTTTACTTTTATTCGAGGTGCCTACATACAATATTGCATTTAAATATCCTAACAAAAATCGGATTACGCATGCGCAAAATAAATTTTTAGCTTCTGCATTACTTTTACGTGAGGTGCCTACATACACAATTTCATTTAAATATCTTTAAAAAAAAATTTTGATTGCATAAACTACCAAATCTGGGTTGCGCATGCCCAAATTTGTTTAAGGAATATTTACTAACGCAGAAAACCGGACATGTTTGTGGCTGTAACTTTTTGCCCTGTTAGTGTACATAGCTGAAAACAATAGCAACCTTTGTTATATCCTTAAGAACAATCATGCGTACCAAAGCGGTCCGTAATCCTTTTCTAAACAAAGTTATCATGCACACGGATAGACCGACAGTGAACAGGCAGACAGGCTGACATACAGACAATACAACATTTTAAACGATCCTGAAAATCGTTAATAAACGGCAAAAGTGTAAAATTATGGTACATGAAAAAATTGATTTATTACTTTTTTAGTAATAAACGCAAAAAAATCCTTCCTTGGTGCAAGCCTCAACACCATAACGAGCCAAATAGCGAAAGAAGTTGAATAATAGCTCTCAAGATAAAGATGTACTAGCGAGCGGAGGAACGAAGTGGCCACAATAGCCCTTTTTTATTATGGAAATGCGCTAAAAAAGGCATATTCCATTTTTTAAAATAAAAAAGTGCAGGACTTATTTAAAAAAACTAAAACAGGGCAGGCCCAATTTAAAAAATAGGAAAAAAAGCAGCATTCCGGAATGATAAAAAAATCAAAAGTAAATACATAACCCCTTCCATTTTCTTGAAATGTAGCTGTAGGTATGTAAATGAGCAATAAATAAATACATACAAATTACGAAATTCTTTGGTTGCAGTAAGTAAAATTTTGGACAGCCCATCCTGTTTCATATTTGATTTTTTATCGTTAACAATAAAATTACCAACACTCACCTTCTGCAGCTAGTAGCATGGAATTAATACTGGGCTCAAGATAATTCATATTCGAAGCAAATTCTTCTTTCAGAAGCATACTTTCTATCCTTAACTTGTAACTAAACCAAATTTATATCATTATCAAAAAAAGAACAAATAGCATCTCTTACTTTGATAAATTTGTCAATTGCAGTAAAAATTTCTCGGCATTACCTAATTTAGTAAAATCGCCGGCAAATGATTTTAACATATCCAACTCGTCTACTTCGGGCAATATCTTTAAAAGTCCCCTTAGCTTTTCAGCACCTATATCCTCGTGCTCTCCATCTTTTATTAATTGAATAATTTCTTCGTTTGTGCTATTAGACAGATTACGTTGAAAGAAATAAAAGACAACTCCTCTTACCTTCTAAACTGTTTCAAGAAAATGTTGACGTTTAAACTTCTTTTACCATCCAACAAAGTAATCTAAAAATATAAGATAGGATAATTAGGTAGGTATATTGCAAATTTCAGCTGTTGATATATTTAGGATTATTTATGATAGGCAAATACAAAAGGCCTGTGATTAAAATTTTAAGAAGTTCTATTTATAATCAAGAAAAAGGTTGTAGTTGTGTAGATAACATTCATTTATAAAAGTAATAACATAATTCTTGGTTATATCTGCCGAGTCTGCGAGATGTAAGCACTCAACCCTATCTTTAGTGATTGTAAGCACAAAGTCAATCGCTGATTTAGTTCCATACCGTCTCTAAATTTTTCATATTTCAATTTGTCCTGCGTTTTGAAATAAATGCGCGCAATCGTAATTTTCGTAAGAAATTTCCCTAAGCCTCTAGTGGAAGTGTGATACACGAAACCAAGGCTTTCTGTCTCTTTCTAAGATTGGCCACGATAATGCTTCACAGTATACGATTCTACACAGGTTATATTACAGGTTACTGCATGAGTATAGAGGAAAGAATTAATTTAATTAAATACATATGAAATTATTTCTGGCATGTAGGTACCTATAGGCTATAATGCAATTATTTTAGCAGTTTTGACAGCAACAACACAACCAACCCATCTACATTTACTATATAGGCACGCCTAGTTATAGTTTCTTAACAGTAACTACCTCTGTATTTTCTTTTCTCATCCTTCTTTCTAATGTTTCAGAATTCCCCTCTCTGTTTCCCAACTTAGGAGAATTTTGCGCTGAAGGCGGTACCTGTTGACAAAATAAATCTTCCATTTCGGACCAATCCATGTCAACTCGAGGCGAATCCTGATGACTATAAGCCACCTGAGTCCAAATATTATTCTTCCCTACAACCTAAATACTAAGATAAATGATTTATATTAAAAGTAACAGAACAGAGTGTACCTTATTACTCGGAATTTTATTCCAGTTAATCGTTTTCATCTTTATTTTTGGAGTAGGAGTTTTCTGTTGTGGAAGTTTTTCGACGACAGTATCTACTTCGATGGTTGGAGAGGTGGGGGTTCGTATCTTTGGAAGGGCGGGAGGAGGTAGAGGAGCTGGAGGTGGGATGTGAGGTGGCGGTGGTACACTGGGTGGTGGAGGTGGAGGTGGTGGCTGTATCGGACCTGTAAGCAAATATTGTAAGTATGCACAACTTCTGTGTATCGCGTCTACCTAAAGGTGGGAGAGGCGGAGGTCCAAGCTGAGGACTTAACGGCACAGTGTTTAATGATTGCCTTCTACTGGGACTAGAATCAGAACGCAGTTGGCATTGGCAGAATAGCTTTGCTTGCACGCTTGGCGTCCGCAGTAATCGTGTTGCGCCTTCTCTGTTTTCTAATAACGTAGCGCGATGCACCAGACGTTCAGCGGTATCCCATATGATATCACTTACTGCTTCTTTGGGATCTACCCTTAATAAATGTTGTAAAATGCTGAGAAATGGAATCTCTTGTGGGGTATCCGCAACCTACATTACGTAAATGTGTAGAGTGTTATACCATTCATGCCTACCAAACCTGCTTTAATATGGCATAAAAAACGTCAAGCGGTGAATTTAGATCCACTCCGTGCGGACCCTGCATGCTCTGTGCATCATCACTTTCACGTTGCTCATCAAATACGTCTAGCTGTACAGCAAGCTCCGGTTCCGCTTCTGCGCACTTCCTGCAAAAAAACTTTTACTAGACATAAAAGGAACAGCTGAAAAGGTTTTTGTGGAAGAATCGCGCATGCGCAGGTGTGCGGGTGATATCTGTGCTAGCCACAACAAATTTTTTTTTAACAAAGATTATGTAACTGTATTTGATATTGTAGCTTTAGCTCTACCATCACTTGGATTATGATGGTTACACAATAAATTTCAAATTTATAAAATTTAGTGTAAGTTGATTGACTAACGGATCAACTGAAACATACGAACGGATTGCTTCGAGCCCAGCTTCAAATAACAATGTGATAAAGAATAAAAGCGCTGTATGATTAGATTAATGAAAATTTTATTACCTAAATAGATTTGCCACAACACAATTTTACAATTAAATGCCTAATACTTTGTTGTAACAATAAATGCATATTTTATATGTATTAGTGAGCAAACTTTTAATTTATGGTGGGCGAAGCATCTGATCATCAGCAAAAATTAGATGTAGGTAAACATGATACTAATAATATGTATTTGGCGAATGAGAGCTGGTTGGTAAATTTTTTTATGTAATAAGTATGTAATGTAAGTGTATATTTATGTATTTATTATCAAATGTAGATATATTTTTAGTTTGAGAAACAATTGTGATTATTTGTATGAATCTAGAAACGTTGAAAGATAGTAATGGTTCAACTCCTTAGTTATTATTTATTAGAAGGCTGTTGCTCTTCATTAGCATAATAAAGTAAAGAGCTTATGAATGCATTTAATACTTACCGTAAATGGCTAAGCACAGGAAGCAGATGACATCCTGCAAAAGAACACATTATACATATAAATGGATTGAATTATTTCAAATAGACAAAGCATGTGCGTGTTGCATAAATTAGGTAAGTATAAGTATTTGATTATGTTATTACTGCGTCATTATAAACTACAATACTTAGTTAAAGATTTCAATAAAAATCATTTATCTTAATTCAGCTATACATTAATGTTTTTTTTAATCTAAGGTTCTGCAAAACATTTTCCGCATCTTTTTTTAGAGGATGTGTCGTTAGACGAAAAAAATGGTCGGAATTGAGATTAATTATGTACTAATGTAATAGAAACTCCGTGAATTTTCAAAATTTCAATTAAAGGTAACTTGATTTGTTTAAATGAAACTATCAATTTTTTTTATTGCATCGCATGTAGGATTTGATTAAGTTACACTATTACCTTCAACGTGGTTATTTTGCTGTTGTCGCTTATCAACTAACTGACTGTTGGTGCGCCATGCATTTTGCATTCAAATAATGACCGAAAAGTTTGTTAATGCAGTGATTCGAGGTGGTGTCATACTGACCTTAGGTAAAAGTGGTAAATGGAAAACCTAGGCGTAGCCAAAGCCAAGGTCGAGCAAGCTAACCAAGACATCGAGAAAATCTTGGCAGTCTGGATGTAAGACAATAGCACAACAAATGGGTCAAAAGGCTTAGCGTTTGTACAGTTTCAGGTATTAAGCGGTCATCTTGTCCTGCCACGTTTGGTATTGAACCAAGAGTAGGACTTTTAAATTCGAGTTTACCTTCAGAAGTAATTGAAAATTAACTAATGAAGAGGACGTTCAAAGAGTTGTTCAGGAGGTAAATTCAGAAAAACAACAATCTATAGGCTCTCTTTGAAGAGACACCAAATGTTGGCCGCTAGAAAGGAATTAAGTATACAAACATTTAAAAAAAACAAGCTGATCTGCGAAATATAATTGGAGTGGTTCTTGACAAAAACGAAGTCAGCCTCCACAAAAAATGGAATAGTCAAACAAGTGTACTGTAGTGGATACGTTCGAATAAAAAGCCTGCTAGATATCCGATCCTTACCTTTGCTTTCTGTGAAATGGTAAAACAAATTAAGTAAGTTAATTAATGGGGGCAAAGGCAAGCATGTGGACGAATGCAAATATAATTTTGGTTTTACAAAAGTTATCACAAATTATTAATTAATACCCCATAAAGTCTTTGAAATACTAAAACAACGAAAGACGAAAAACTCAAACATGCAAATTAGTTAGAAAATGTGCAGTTCAAGTTTTATTCTAATATTTACTGAAGAGATAAGTAAATCTAGTTTAAACCAAAATATGTTTAGTTAAAACCAGAACAAACTGAACATACCTATTTGAAAATCTTAGGTTTACCTAGTAAGAAGTTAGTGTCCAAAGCGGATAGTTGGAACTGGTACTTTTACCTATGAAATTTGGGTTTTTACTGAAGTTCGGTTTTGACGGTAACATATATCTACAAAGAACCCAAAAACAAAAGAAAATATGAAAATGTGCATTCGTAGTGCTTTCGCATCCTTAACGCTAGCTATGGTTTGTCGTGTCAAGGCTGCTTTTCTAAATGTATCGAGCCATCAACAAATGTTTGGTACAGGTATTTATATTTTTCTGTTATTTCTATTTAACCTTTTTTTGGCTCTTGTGGTTTTTCTTCTGAAACGGGTTTACCCCTTACTAAATTAATAATTCTAATTAGTTCGCGATAGTCGATAATTTTTCTATGATGCATTCTTTCGTAAATACCTCGGATTTCACGTTGTTACCTATTAGTTTACGCGCTTTTTTTGTACTCTTGTTTGCGTTTATGGCTAATTATTCATTTATTGCCTACAGCCAAACAACGTTGCTCCCGCTAGTACTACTCACATTTAAATGGGTTACTATTTGAAAAAACAGTTGTATGACGTTACTGCGCTAAAAGCTCATATATTCAAAAAAAAGTTTGCGACAGTTATCCTTTATGCTTAATTTACACTGCCAAAATTTTAATGAAATCAAACTAACCGTGTTGCTGCAAAAATTTCAAAACTCAAATTTTGCGTTGGTATTTAAAAAAAGTTCGATGACGTTGCGCCGCCCGCTCCAAATACTTTTTCAAAAACTTGCCCGTTAGTTTTCGTTTCCGTATGCCTAATATACGTTTTCAAAATTTGAACAAAAACTGCCAAGCCGTTATTTCGGAAAAATACCAACGTATGTTACGTATACGTACATACATACAGTGAGTTTTTTTTAATGCGAACATACGCTTTTGTATGCATTGTAATTTCCATATGTTCGATTTTAAAAAAAAAAACGCATCAATCTATGAGGTTGCGCGGTTCACATTCCCACCAGCAAAACGCGTAACTTGCGGTTTCTATTATTTATAGCCTTCATGATGAAGAGCACACGATAAGAATTTTTTTAAAGAAGCCATATGAGCCCGTTGCATCTTTAGGATAAATTTTTCTTAAACATACGATAACTTGACCTCACAGGGCACGCGCTGACACCACAATTCATTGTGAACCAAACTTCAATTATTTGTAGGCCATATGCACCTGATGGTACTCTACTTATTTGATCTATTCAATACATAAATGATGAAAATAAGAAAATAAATAACGAAAACAACTAACGGGCGATCAAAAATGAGTTGCTGTCGAGTTGCCTGTGGAAGTTCAAGTTAAATACGATTTCCCATGTAAACAAAAATTCCAAAGGTGACTCGACAGCAACTGATTTTTGATCGCATAGTACAATAAATGTTCGAAGTGTCCTCCTTGACATTCTAAGCAATCGCCTAACCGATTTCGAAATTAAATTGGATGGCGGTATCCGCGGAATTTATAAAAATGTGACAGCTGTCAATTGTATCTACTACTCATTTGAACTACTCAATAGATTGATGTGTTTTTTTTTAAATCGAACATAGGGAAATTACTACATTGCATGCAAACTCCTATGTTCGCATTTTAAAAAAATTCACTGTATACATACCTACAGACTGAAACCAAAAATCAAGTTACCTTTGATTGAAATGTGATTTTGATCGGTCGACGTATGTTAAGTAGGTAGGTAGGTACATTTCATGATTAGTAACACTGCAGCGAGTCACTGCCTTCTAAGTTTTATGATAACTGCGATATTCACTTGACCAAGGAATCGAAATACGAGTATGCAATAATATGCAGGGAGTTCTATTTCAAAAATGCAACTTTGATATAATCACTCTTGTAGCCTTAAGCAATTGCTTTTACACGGGGATACAGTCGCCTGGATACCGGCGTTATCTCGGATACACGTGAAACCTTACGTCTTATGGAGCCGTTCACATAAGCGTATTTCCCACATACAGTGTCGGCGACTACCTACATTTCGGTCTCTCGCTAGTCCCAGTCGCCCGGCAATTTTACAACTTTGGGGGAACTGATGGGCTATTCGTTCATTGTAACACGGTTTACACGGGGACACTTTTTCATTAGCCCTTCACCCCCATTAGTACTTCACTGCGAAAGAGAAGTTTAGAATGACCAAAGTATGGGAAGTGTATTTAACATAAATTCTGACGGCAGACTGTATCTCGGATGATATGCACCCAACATCAGATGTTTAGCTTACAGGTATGTCGTTAATATAGATGAGAAACAATATGGGGAGTGATGTGAAAAGAACAGAATCCGCAAAAATGTATCTTGTTTGTACCGACATGAACTATAATATACCTACCTAATGGTTTACTTTTATCACAGTATCTATGTCTGTGCTTTTGTTTTTTTTTGCGTGCTCAGCACTATATGGTCTAAGGCTCAGCATCTGAGTGAATCTATTGTATCATTCAAATAATAAAAATTAAATATGTTTAGATTTGTTACCTACGCATACATACTTACCTATAAATTCATTCCTAAGCCGTGTCCTATCCGTTAACCTAGGAGTGGAGATTATAAGGCAGTTTATAAACGCAACTAACGCGGTCTGGTAATCAACAGCAGTCGCGCGATCTAGCTCTTTTACGATTACGGTCAGTCTATATCTCTCGCCTTTTATTTTCTGAAAACAAAAAGAAAATAATATAAATTATAGGTTGAGTAGGATGCAAAAACCGAACTCATCAAATCAAGTCGATTTTGACTGTTTTTTGCTTATTTAGTAGGAAGTAAGGAATCTGGGTATCAAAAAGGCGCTTCTAAAATTGTACCACCTGCATTCGAAGATTTACATTTCGAAAAATACGTATCTTGTGCAGAATTAGATGCCGATTCTGAATCAAAAAGGCGCGATGGTCGCAGGGATTGCAAATTAATTAATTTAATCATAATATCGACTTAAATCGTTATTTTTTGTTATTTGCGGTATTTTCAATGAACTACATGCGAAATTAGATCACTCACTAGTAGGCGGGGGACACTTTGTAACCCGAAGGTCCAATCTTCAAATGAGTAGGTATAACTTTTGTTTGAAAAGTGATTTTAAAAAACTGTTCGACAATTTTGTTTCTTAACTCAAGTATGTACACAACAAATTTCGTGGAATTCTCTCCATTTTCGTTGTCGGGCCAAGAATTGCAGTAGAACTTTTTTTTTCGAATTTTCAAAAACTAATTCCAGATTCGTCATTTTCATGTTCAAAAACCCCAGATATCAAATTTCGTCGAAATCAGAATTTTTTCGCACCCCCAAGTAGGAGTGCGCCCTTCCGTGGTAGGAATTTTGAACATTTTTTTTCAAAATTGTATAGGGCGTACCCGAAATACAGTTCAAAAACGTGCCACCCGTCTTTCTAACTCTTATGGTTGCTGAGAAAAAAATTAAAGAAGAAATGCAAATTTCACCACTTTTGTGGGGGTGGCTTCCAAACGAAACACGTTGGACCTGCGGTTTATTTGAAAAAAAGTGCATGTTTTGACCCCGTCTGCAACCCAAAATTTTTTTTTAATACTTATATGTAACGTCATGGTAGCATAGCTGTCTTGATTATATCAGTCTGCAGAAATTTTCTAATCAACCTACGTACATCATAAAGCTAAAAATGAACTATTCCATGCATGTGGACGGCTTTCTATATTGAACATAGCTGAGACGGTATGGCGTTTTGAAATTGTCCATTTAAACATTTTCCCAAAGAAGTAAAAATCAGTATAATCATTTTTTTAAATTACCTACCCTATAATGATCGAGCGTATCCAATGCCCGTGCGTGTCCTTCTTCATTATGTACGCAAAGTGCAGACAGTAACTCTATGACTTGCTTTTTTACGGTAATTGTTGTAGTATCTAAAGCCGCCGCTAATTTTCCTATGTATTCTGGGTTTTCTACAATAAAATCCAGACCAATTCGAGAATCCATCGTTTGCATACTGCATATCTGAAATAAAAAAATGTGTCAATATATTGAGTATCTATATAAATAAAAATGAATGTGTTTTTTGTTTGTAGGTATATCTCTTTGTCTAGCTAAACTGTTCATCCGATTGCGATAAAACTTTAAGGAATTGTTGGACGTACACCCACGATGGTTCACGATTTAGTAAAATTGTGCGAGATGAGGCGGCGCAGCTACTGAAACCGGCCTTATGTCCCATACGAGACAAGTTCGCCAGACCACTACTGCTTGTATAAATATGCCATTCGAAATTAATTATATTTTATATTGATATACTTTGCAATGATAAGGCGTAATTTTTATATCGAGAATGCCAATTTTTCTACAAAAAAAATTCTTGCAACTTTAACCATGTGCTAGCTAGAGGTTATCTACAACCCCACACAAATTGTTAAATGGAACGAGGGAGAAATGAAATAATTTGGAAGGGATATTCATTATTTGCCCCAAACGATTTTATGTTTGTCTACGATCTCCCTGAAAATGAGGCCATAACGTATAATTTAGAGGCTTGATGTAGTACCCATATTACGTCCACTCGTGCGTAATTAAAAAAAATAGAATAGATCGCATGCACCTCTGTTTGGACGTGATAATTGTCTAAATTGTCAACAGACATCGTTTTGGGGTTTGCCTTATTTTGATTTCGAAAATTCGAAGTTCACGGAAGTCGTTGAAAAAGAATGGTAGGTACGCAATTCGGTTGTAATTTGTACATTGCAGGTTTATAGAATTGTCGCACCTGAAGCGGCAATAGTGCGCAATTTTTCTAGCCTCTGTAATACGCATTATTACAACCTTATGACGTAATATACTATTTTTAATTGATCATTAGAAACTAACAAAAACCCAAAAAGGTATTGCTCCAAATGACCCCCACTAACTTCCATACAATAATACATCATTGTCGTAGAACAAAGTTTCGTTTGGACGCACCTTGTATAGGTACCTACCTAATTAAAAGTCTAGACCTAGAGGTACAGTAACTTACCTACTTAGTGGGTAGGTACATGTGATATAGGAGACCCTCGATGAATCACACTCGCCAGGGCAAATTTATAATTAAGCATGAATAAATAACCAACCATTTTACATAAATTCCAAACAGTGGCTATCTGCAGCTGATTTTTTACTGATCGCGTACCTACAGACCAGTTCGCCTACGCTTTGACCATACCCGCATTTTGCTACAATTTTGAAACTAACTTGGTTCGCCGATTCGCGCGTCTTTAAATACACTATCTACAAAATTATTGTTTGAGTAAAATTCTTTTGCGTGTCTTGGAAATTCGTATAAAATCAAAATCGATAGATGATATATATAATAAGATTGATAGTTTCATGGTCATTACAAAGCCCGAGGTGTATAGAATCTTCGTGTATCCCTACACATAATTATAGTGCATGCATAATAAATAAATTATACCTATATTCACTTAAAATGTAAGAAAAGTCAATGCCAGAAATAAACAATACAATTATAGTAATTATTTCTCCAAATGCCAACATCCGCACCCTTATGTATCCAAAAGGACCTATGTAGTAGGTAAACTTTAACCTACCGTACCTACCACTTATACACTGAGATAGTAGTTGATGGCGAAAATAAATTTGATAGGGTTATATAGGGACGGCATTTCAATTATGTACCTGTAGCAGTTTTAGCATCTAATCGTCTGAGATAATATCAGGTATATTTAAATGAAAGAAGCAAAGCCATCCCACGCACATCTTATATATACCTACATGAGATTTAAACATCAAAACGTGTGTTAATTAATTTGTAAAACGAAGGTTCAGTAATTGTTCTAGTAGTATGTACAGTGACTTTTGTAGTATGTAGTTGGTGACATATGGTTTGTGAACTGTTATAGTCACCAAAAAAAAAACACGCGCTAACCAAAATCCTTGACTGTTGTAAAAAACAATAGATTTTAATTTGTATAAACCCACAGAAATTTGAAAAATGTCGCTACAGCAATTTAAAAATCGGAATATTGGCAGCTGTCATGTACCTAATCATTTTTTCCTTAGACCATATAGTACATGGACTGCTAATTGTAACTAAAATATGGTCAAGGACATCGCCTGGGTATGTGAGTTTCAGGGTAAACGAGTCTGTCCGAAGTTGTCCGATGAGACACGATTTGAGACTGTCAACCTATAAATTAACAAACGTCAATTAATTAATCGCCTATAATCCCAAAAAAGCAAACTTATTCTTATTTGTGGACGTATAGCAAACAATGAAGAGCATTTAAAGCTTCCCGTACTACGCGGTTACTATAAAGTGGTGTTTACACGACTTTAGTTTACCCTGAGCATTGTTTACAATGCACTGAGATTCACATACCCACATATGTGGAGACCCGCAGTGGATGCGGATCGGAACGAGAAAGAAGAGTAGGCGTTTGTCATTAGATAGAGAACTGTCATGGAACTGTCTATGAGTTAGATGTGTTTGTTGGAGTTGAAATAAAAAGCGTATTTTCAAATAGTGGTGTTTTACTGGGTTATTACATTGGCGACGAGGATTAAAAAGAAACTTATTTCGGTAAGAAAAGAAAAGGGGGAACATAATTATGTTCCTAATACAAATCGGTTGCAAAGTCAAACCGAAGAGTGACCGTTAAATCGGACACAGAGGGCGCGCACTAAACTGCGCACAAAGAGTGACCGTTAAATCGGACCAAAAGGGCGCGCACTAAACTGCGCACAAAGAGTGACCGTTAAATCGGATCAAAAGGGCGCGCACTAAACTGCGCACATAGGGCGTCTGTTCAATCGGACTCAAAGGGGCGCACTAAACTGCGCACATAGGGCGTCCGTTAGATCGGACACAGAAACGGATAATCCGTTACGCAAGCAAAGTGAGTAAAAGAAACGTCACTGTGACAAGATTAAATAAGTATTATACAATAGGTTTTTTTTAAAAAAAAAAAGCACCTTGAAATGGAGTATTGTAACATAAAACCGTTCCTTTGTGACAATATAGACAAGGCTCTGTTACGTACAGAATGGGAGAAATGGTTGCGATCGGTTAAATTGTATTTTGAGGCGGAAGAAATAGTACATCCTAAGAAAAAAACGCAGTAAGTTACTGCATTTTTGAGATACAGGACGTGGCATATAATCTTCCCAGGGCCATCGAAGAATACGACGAACAACAGAAAAATGACGTTTTTGGAGTATTAGTGAAAAAGTTAAACGATCATTTTTCTCCGGAACAGAATTCGACTTTTGAACGTCACGTGTTTAACTCCATTAAAACGGAAGGTGGAGAAACCTTTACTAAATTCTTGTTAAGAGTAAGACGACAATCGTCAAAATGTGCATTTGGGACTTCCAAAATCGAAGCCATAGATATCAACTTAAAAGACAAGTTGATCGACTCAGGGGCACCGATGGAACTGAAGAAGAAATTATTGGAGAAAGAGAGGTGTCTAGATAGATGAAGTCATAGAACTGTCGGATACATGAGGAAAATATAAGCACGCAATCCACAGTAATGAACCAAGTTAACTCACAACCAGGTCCGTCGTACGTTCACATTAATAAGGTGGAGATAAAGGGAAGGCAAAGTAATGAATGCGCAAGATGTGGAAGGACCGATCACAAGAATCGAAAGTTAAGTGTCACCGCTGTGAGTTAGTGGGGCATTTTGCTACCAAATGCAGAACGAGAACCACTAAGCGACCTGCTAGGCTTGAACCAAAAGGAAATACGAAGAGATGGCGGAATGCAGTAAATCGAGCGGATGACCTCTCACAAGAGTGAGAAGAGGACCGAGAAGTAGAAATCGAGAGGTTTGATTGTTTTAAGGTGGTCGAGTGGTAGACAATTCAGCAGTCAAAGATGGACTAATTGAATGCATCGTGGGGGAGGTGTTAAAATAACCATGCTCATCGATTCCGGGTCAAAAGTGAACGTTATAAACGGCACAGATTGGAAAAAGTTGACGCGAAATAAAACTGTAGTCTGGAAATTGAGCCTAAGTAGTGAGAAAACGTTGAAACCTTACGCTTCTGGAATGTTACTAGTCGATCACAAATTTCGGTCCACAATCACAGTAGGAACAAGGCAAGAAATAATTGCGGATTTCTTTGTTATCGAAGGAGGAGACATCTGTAGTAGGAAAAGACACCGCTCTTCGACTGGGAATACTGAAGATGGGTTTGAACGTAAATGCTTTAGTGGAAAACACGTCGTTTCTGAAAATCAAAAACGTGTTAGTTAAGCTTACCATAGACCCGAGAATAAAACCGGTTCGACAACCTCTTCGAAAGGTACCAATCACGGTGGAAGAAGCAGTAGAACAGAAATTGGACGAGACTTTAGCTAAAGGAATAATTGAGAAGGTCCGTGAACCTAGCGAATAGGTGTCCCCAATAGTAGTAATTTTCAAGTCGGGTGGCGACATCCGTATTTGTATTGATATGCAGAGGGCAAATATGAAGCTATTCGGCGGGAAAATTATCCCTTACCAACCTTTGATGGGTTTGTAACTAAACTGAGAAACGCGCGGTTCTTCTCAAAGTTGGACCTGCTTAACGCATACCACCAGGTGGAATTAGATGAAGAAAGTCGCCCAACAACGACATGTATTACACACAAGGAAATGTTTAAATATACACGTTTGTTGTTTGGGGTCAATTCGGCTCCAGAAATTTTTCAGCGTATTATTGAGGCCATATTTGCAGAGTGTGAAGGATGTTTAAACTGCATAGATGACATTATTATTTACGGAGGTACCGAGGAAGAGCATGACAAATCTGTCAAAGGTGCTGAAAACATTAAAGGAAAATAACGCCGTTCTTAATGACAACAAATGTTTATTCAAAGTCCAAAACTAGGAGTTTTTAGGCCACAAGCTGTCAGTAAATGGAATCGAGGCAGCAGACAGCAAAGTAAAAACTATCCTTGAATTTCGATCCCTAACACTAAGGAAGAAGTCAGGAGTTTTCTGGGTCTTGTGACGTATA